AGGGGGGCGCTCCGAGGTTTGCTTTCTTCTTTGACTTCCACTTCTGCAGGTTCAGGCCGGTCATCTTCTTCACTGAGATCCACTGTTTGTAAGGCAGAGTCTACTTCCCCACAGTTTTTAGTCTCTACTGGTGACTCACACACCACCTGGATTATGTTGCCAGGTGATAAGAAAATGAAAAAAAAACAAAAACAAAAAAAACCAAACCAAAACCCAAGAAACAATCATTTCCCCAAGGCATGTTTTATGAAAGGTTGTCCCCTCTCTGTGGAGTAGGTATGATGAATCTTCAGGAAGTAGGGATGTATCATGAGCTCACAGATGACTGATCACCAGACAGACAGACAGACAGACAGACAGAGAGATGACAGACAGGGGAGTGGAGTTGGCAGATTCCTCCCCCATGAAGGTGGGAGGCATAGACAGGCTTAGGTGAGTGTCCTGCGTCGGCCACAGGCTGTGTGTGGCCCCAGCCATCCTTGGGTCAGTCTCTGCACTTACATTGGTCTCTGTAGCAGGACAGACCCAACTAGTCATAAGAGGGTTTTACAGTTTCCTTCATTTCTTCACACAGGGTTAGCCAATGGCTGTCAAGTCCAGTCCGCAGCCCATTTGCACAGTCTGCAAACTAGGGATGGCTCCTCACCACTCACCATTCTAGAGGCCTGTAAAAGCCTTTTAAAAAATGAAAATGGGAGGAAGACCAAATATGACCTCCGAAGCCCAAGACACTGTGGGGCCTCTGCACGGGGTTTCCCGTCTCCTGCCACCACCAAAAGCACCTTGGGGGCCGACGCCTGGTAGACCCCTCTGCTGGTACTAGTCCCAACCTGCCTGGGAAATGCCCCCAATGTCATGGTTAGAAAAGGGGATTTGGTTGTTTCCAAAATTACAGACCATGAGGACGCTTTCCTTTCCTACATACAGAATGTGCCATTGGTTTGTAAATGACCCCCAAATTTCAAATTGGTGGGAACCCTTCTTTAGCCTATCATTAACTGATAGTAGGGGGTGCAGCACGTGAACACCCTGATATTTGGTAACTAAATCACAATAATCTAGTCCTGCCTTGCATTTCTTAGATATGGACATGGTTTCTAGTGTTTTGCCTTTTTTAAGATCTAAGCTAGGGAGCAATGAGCTCCAAAGTACCCAGGGAGCAGGACAGGGAGTAAGCGTGGGGTAAAGCAGACGTGAGTCAAAGAATGCTAAGGACTACTGTGAACCCAAATCAAGTTGTCCTATTAAACGATGGCAAAAGAATAAACACAGTGGATTCACCAAAGACTGGAAGCTTCTGTTGGTGGCTGCTGGGTTTTGGCACCGGCCTAGCCTTAGGAAGCTGGGCCAAGGGAACCAAAGAGTCATCTAGGATTAGTGGTTGAATGTGGACTTGGCCTCCTACACCTAAGGCAGCTTCAATTCAATTGCATTTCTGGAAAAAAAATGCATTGGCCACAAAGCCCTTGGGGGACTCCTGGGATGTAGGCTATGTGGTCTCATGCGGCAGCTGCCTGGGTCCTGAATCTTGTCTTTACCCCTCGCGGGTCTTATGTCAGTGGCTCTGGGCTGTCCTCCCCTCTGACTTTGGTGAGGATTGTGCACCCAGCAGAAAGCTGTTCTGAGGATTAGGTGAGGCAGCACACGTCGAGTTCTCAGGCTGTGCCTGGCATTGTAGGCATGCAATTAATACTAGTGGCTGTTAATGGTGTTAATATTAGATTTATTTACTCCATGAACATGGAGCTGTCTAGCACCCACAGGCCCATTTAGCGATGGCTATATGAATAACTACCATTTAGCATGTCTGCTGTTGTACAAGGCACTTTTTATGTATGACATCAAGCTGTAGTTACAAAGATAACATCCTCATTTTACAAATGAAGAGTGTGAGCAGTAGAGGACTTGGTCAAAGCAGCACCAGAGGGCAGTTGCTCTTTGGAGGAGTCTGGTACTTCCTGTTTGTGAGTGACTATCGAATGATAGACTAAGAAGGACGTGAAGCAGAGTTTGAAAGCAGGATGTTCTCACACCCATTTGGAGCTCTGCAATGTCTTTAAGACCTTTGGCTTGTCCCATCCTTGGGCTTTGCCATCCTTGGTCTGCTGGAATTTCCTCCTAATATTTGTTACCTCATGGCCATAAAATAGCTATTATAGCTCTGGCCATCTCAACCTCAAATCAATGTCCTGACATGGAAGGAAATCTTTTATTACATAAAAAGATCTGCACCAGGGGCTGGAGAGATGGCTCAGCAGTTAAGACCACTGACTGCTTTTTCAGAGGACCTGGGTTTGATTCCCAGCATCCATATGGTGGCTCACAACCATTTGTAACTCCAGTTGCAAGGGATCTGATGCTGTCTTCTGACCTCCACGATTGCATGACATGGGTGCATCTATATACAAGCAATATACTCATAATATAAAATAAAAATAATAAATAAAATGTTAAAAAATCTGCTCCAAAAGAACTTCTATGTTTTGGTCCCTTACTGGCCATAACCAGATCCATCTTCTTATCCCCAAACTATTAAATAGCAAAGCATCTAGGTAAATGCTTTGGGAATGGTGTTACCAACCTTGCCTAGGATCAAGGTACAGAAGGGTGGAAGAATGGGGGATGATGAACAGCCCTGGACCTCCTGACTCTGGATTCAGAGCTAGTTCTTTCCAAATGTCCAGAGGTGTCAACTCAAAAATCTTAGTCACAAGTCCATTCTCCCAAACACACACTGTTTCAGTAGGCAAAATTAATGGGGCTTCTAGAGACTTCAATGAGCTTTGAAGTCAAGCCAAGAAGTTACCTTTCAGTAGCCAAAGATATCCAGCATGCAAACCCGGATCAATCTGGACCATGTAAGGATTGTTATTGCAAATACAGACATGAGAGGTCAGTTTGTACTTGAATTGTTTTCTGAGTTCCTCACAGAGTACAGCTTTGGGAAGGCTGGTCTCTACTTAAATGTGCATCTACACATTTTAATTTTGTGTTTGATGGATATAATTAGAATCAGACTTGACTGTCCTATAATTTTGTGCAATGATTTAGAATTACATTTCACTTGCTTAATTACAGTAGAGGATATGGTACACATTGTATACATTTTAGGAAAGGGTTTTGCTTACTAACTGAAACTTTATACCATACTTATACTTAAAAAATACATTGATGATGGGGCTGGAGATGGCTCAGTGGTTAAGAGCACTGACTGCCCTTGCTGTTGAAGCCTGGTTCAATTCCCAGCACCCACATGGTGGCTAACAACCATTCATAACTCCAGTTCCAGGGGATCTTGATGCCTTCTTCTGACCTCTATGGGCATTGCATAACACAGGTGCACTTACACACATGCAGACAATGCACTCATGCATAAACCATTCATAACTCCAGTTCCAGGGGATCTTGATGCCTTCTTCTGACCTCATGGGCATTGCATAACATAGGTGCACTTACACACATGCAGACAATGCACTCATACACATGACATTAAAAAAATAAATAAAATAGTTTGGAAAACACATTGGTGAGGACTGAGCCCTGGGCACATTTTGGGTTTTACTACTAAGCTCTAGTTCCAATCCCACATTTAAACTTTTTTTTTTTTTTGTCTTTTTGAGGCAGGGTCTCCCTGTGTTATTTATTTATTTTTGTTTGTTTTTGAGACAGGGTCTCACTGTATCCATGGTTGGCCTATAACTCACTATATAGACCATGATGGTCTGCAACTCACAGAGATCCGCCTGCCTCTGCCTCCCAAGTGCTGGAACTAAAGGTGTGCGCTACTACACCTGCACAGCTGCTGTTCATTACAGTAAAAGAATCCATTGCCTCTACCTCCCAAGTGCTGGGACTAAAGGCATGTGCCACCACGCCTGGCCTTTTTTTTTGTCTTTTTGAGCCACACTTACACTTTTAAAGTTTCTATTTGTGTATGTGTCTGTATGTATCTAAGTGTATGTGTATATGTACGTATGTGTATGTGTATGTGTATGTGTATGTGTATGTGTATGTGGGTGTCTGTGGAGGGTAGAGAGGATGCCAGATTCCCTGGAGCTGAAGTTATAAGCACCCTTTTTAGGTGCTGGGAACTGAACTCTGGTCCTCGGTAAGGAAAGCAGTACTCCTAATCTTGGAGCCGTCTGCCAGCCCCAGCCCATTCTTACACTTGAAAGTTATTTTATACAATTCTTTTAAACATAGCTACTACTTTTTGGCTCCCTTCCCCTCTCTTCTTCCCTTCTTCTCGCTCTCCCTCCCTCCCTCTCTCTCTTTCCCAGTAAGCTGCAACCCTAGAACCCTAGTCTACTTTTCACTTTTTATTTTGAGATAGAGTCTCACTAAGACTCTAAGACTGGCCTTGAACTCACTCAGACGTGCCTACACCTTGTCATCTTTTGCCTCAAGCTTCCCACCTCGCTGGGATTGCAGCTCTGTTGGAAAATTTTATTGCAAAATAGATATCCTCTTCTTAAACCCTACAGCATGCTTAAGTTTTTATTAATATTCTTTTTGGATTACTTTATTATTTCTGGAGACAGTGTCTTGTTATAAGTACTAACAAGATAAGGCTAGTCTAGAATTTGCTGTGTTTACCAGACTGGCCTCAAGCTTGGAGCCGTTTTCCTGTCTCTGCCTCCCAAGCACAGGAATTACAGGCATAGACTATTCTTGCTGTGGGTATTTGGTTATAGAGATACCGAGATGTCTTTCCTGTGCAATCTCTACTTTCGGCTCATCAGTTTATAGCACCCAAATTTTGCTTTGGGGGAATAATCTCCTGTAACTTTAAGACCCCGTGATTTGGATGAAACTCACTGATTAAAATCTAAGCCAACCAACATGGCTGAGCATCTTGAGCGTGTTAGCCTGGGTGTGGCAGCAGCGGCCCAATGTGTTCGTTCCCAGTTATTCACGTTTTCTGTGAAAACATCTCACATTGGTGCCACCCATGTGAGGTGTACCATGCTGACAGATGTGATGTAACCCATGACCACTGGGAGTGTTGGCAGTTGCTGCTCAGTTCACCCTGCACTGTTCTCTGTGTCCCTAGACCGCACATCCCGGTTGAAGGGCAGCTGCCTTTTCACGCTGATCTCGGGATAGAAGCAACCTGGGCTAATGTACAGCTAGCTCACTTGAAGCACGAGCAAAAACCAAGAAAGCCACTGAAATGGGGCTGGGGATGTGGCTTAGCTGGCAGAGTGACTGCCCAGCATGCAGGAAGCCCTGGGCTCCGTCCTCAGCCCTGTATAAACCAGTGACAGCACATGCCTGTAATCCCAGCACTCGGGAGGTGGATGTAGGAGAATCAAAGGCTCGAGGTCATCCTTGGCTACATAGTGAGTTTCAGGTCAACCTGGGCTACATGAGACCTTGAATTCACTTATCCCAATTTAAATTTCCAAAGACTGTGTCCTTTCAGACTTGAGAGCAGTTGTCTTGGGCCTGAAGCTCATGAGGCCCCATTTATTAATCTCTGTGGGTGTTATTTTCAGAACATACATTACGTTTTCAGAATCTCATGCAGTACCATTCCTTTGGATGTGACTGTACTGTTCTAAAAATTTGGACCATCTGTAGAAGATTAAAGGTCAGAGATACTTGACCTTTAATCTAAGTCTGGCAGGTGAGGCTCTACCTGTCAGGTGCAGACCCCTGCCATCAGCTCTCCAAGTGTGATCACAGTCTTAGGGATCACTGCTGCCTGATGGGAGGACCTGTCCTGAGTACTACCCAAAGTTAGTTAGACTCTAGATCGCCATGGAAACAAAGGTGAAGGAGGAAATCGAGGCAGAATGAAACAGAAGCTGCAGCCCCAGCCCCTAAGGATGTGCAAAGCCATTCTTAAGTGTAGTAGGCTCTTTCAGCCTGTAGAGAGAAAAGTGTGTGCTCTGTTCTCACATTTGTTTTTGCACAGATTCAATGGGAATTGCAAAGCATTCATCCAGTGCTGTTCCCCCTTTTCCTGGGTTCCATGGGATAGGCTGAAAGAGTCTACAGAGGATGCATAACACACAACATGTGAAAATGAGGGCTCCCCAGCTGAAAACGCCCAATGGCCCGACACACCGTATATGACAGCGGGATGATTTGGAGATAGGGTGGGACACTTACATTCTCCTCCGCACCTGTGGAAACTGAATCCTCTTTAACTGACTAGAGGGAGATAAAAACAAAAGGGAGAGTCAAATGTTACCAAAATAAGTCGTGTGAAAGCAGTTATCTGGCTAGCAGCCCAGTTGGGCAGGTCTCAGATACTGAATCGTTCTGTGGACCTTGTTTCAGCAAGACCTTGAAGGGAGGCGCCTACAAAGGCCAACGGTTGAGTGAGATAATACAAGTTATGTATTTTAAAATGCTGCAAAGGAAGAATAAGTATACTGTCACAGGCAGGATGTGCATGGAACATAGAGACGCTTGTTACAGAAAACACACACCACAAAGTTGTGGCTGTGGGAAAGAACATCTTTGCTTTACATGTTTTAGTCATTAATAAGAAGAGAGACTTATTAGTAATATTATGACTGTTATTGAGACAGGATGGGATGTGTGTCAGGTTAGCTTTGAACTCACTGCATAGTGGAGGATTGAACTTCTGATCCTCCTGCCTCCACCTCTCAAGGTATGCATCCCCATGTCTGGTTTATGTGGTGCTGAGAAATCCAACCCTGGGCTTTGTACATGCTAGGCAAGCACTCTACAAACTGAGCTACATCCCTGGCCCAAGAAGGAAAGATTAGTTGCTCAATAGATAGGCACTGATAGTTAAAAACAATTAAGCTATGTGGTGTTTTGAATAAGAAGGTCCCCCATAGGCTCTGAGTATTTGGGTATTTTGTCCCCACTTGGTGACACAGCTTTGGGAGGTTTTGAGGAGGTGTGGCCTTGCTGGAGGAAGGATGTCCCTCGGGGAAGGCTTTGAGAGTTCTTAAGCCTTGCCAGATTTCCATTCATTCTCTGTTTCCTGTTCCTGCCTGAAGACATGTTCAGTAGGCTTTCTGCTCTGGCTACTTCTGCTATCATGCCTCCCCGCCATGATGGACTCACCCCTCTGAAACTGTAAGTCAACCTCTCCCTTTTATAAGTTGCCTTGGTCATGGTATTTTATTACAGCAACAGAAAAGTAACTAATATATGCTGCCTGGAAAAATTCTGGTAAGAGATACAGAGAAATTTACCTTAAAATTTTATGGAGCAAGCAGGGACCATCACCAGGGTCCCCAGCCCTTCTGCCATGTAACCTGTGGTAGGCATCAGACTGAGCCACCTACATCACGCTCAAGTTCAATCTGTCCATAACACACCGAAGAAGACCAGAGGGCCAGAGCCATACATACCCTGTTTCAGTTTTACTCCCTGGTATCATTCTGGCACGTACCGTCCTCAAACTGTACAACAGGTACCCTGATTTTACCGAAGGTCAGTGCCACAATCACCTAGCTACCACCCTGGAGAGTGCCTTCCTATCTTTCCTTCAGTGGTTCTTAAACTTTGGTGTGTGGGGTGTCGAGTCACAGACCACTTTGAGGACATCTTTCCATAAACAAAAAACTTTGCAGAAGATGTCAGGATGTGCATAGACCTCTGTGTCTCTTTTCTGGGACTCTGGGTTAAGAACTTTTCCCTATATCCACTTTGCTACTAAGTCTTGTTTTTTATTCTCTTTAAGACATCCAGTGGGAGGGGAAGAAGAGAAGGAATATTCACAAATACACCTTTCAAGCACTTTACATACCTTATTTCCCTTGTCTTCCTCAGATACCAAGTATGTGATCATTTACACTGTAATCATGGGCACAGAGGGGGCCAAGTCGTGTGTTCAGGTTAAATAGCTAAAAAGTGGAGGATAACATTCTAAGAAACGAGGCCCTTTTCTGACAGGATGACTTTAAGTTCTATTTGGTGACTTTGAACTTGCTGTCTTTCTACGTAAGAGCATCATCTTGGATCATCAACTTCTGTTTATCCTCATTCTTTAGCGATGCTTTCTTGGGCATAGAAGGACCACAACAACTCTAGAAGCTTCTAATGATCAGGAAACGATACTGTATCCAGAAGGAATTTACAAGGAATGCTGCTTTCTTGGAAGTGCAACCCCTCTCTCAAGGCCAGTGGGAAGCTATCTAACTCTGCACACAGATAAAGATTCAAAAGACCGTTTTAAAAGCCCAACCAACGAAAGCTTCAGGAGTCAATATACAGCTCCATTAGACCAAGGAAACATTCGCTATTTAAAATTAAAGCACACAGGGTTTTGATTCTCTTTCAGGTCCCAATTTGGTAAGGAGGTGAGTCTCTAGCTCGGATTTCCTTGTCTATAAAGCTCGTAGCTGTCAGTTGCTGAATGTTCACAGGACGCTGGCAACTCGGTGTAGGTGACAGAGAAAGGTAGAGAGTCAATTTTGAACAGTTGCTTCCTTGATATTCATGCGGTTTTAGATTTTCAGATCTTTTTGCATATTTGGGGGCTGGGGTTATAGTTAAGGTGACAGAGTACTTGCTTAGCATGTACAAAGCCTTGGGTTGATCCCCAGCACTACATGAATCTGATGTGGTGGCAGATGTCTGTAAGCCCAGCTACATAGTGGGTTCCAGGTCAGCCTGGGATAAATGAAAACCTGTTTCAAAAGAAATTGCTATGCTGTATTTTATTTTATTTTATTTTATTTTATTTTATTTTATTTATTTTTGGTCTTTTTGAAACAGGGTCTCCCTGTAGCGCCAGCTGTCCTGGAACTCACTATGTAGACCAGGCTGGCCTTGAGCTCACAGAAATCCACCTGCCTCTGCCTCCCAAGTGCTGGGATTACAGGCGTGCGCCACCACACCTGGCTTGCTATGCTGTATTTAAAAAGCCATATCACCCAGCCAAATATTCCTTTTTTTCCAAAAATTTTTACTGTATTTGTGTGTGTGTGTGTGTGTGTGTGTGTGTGTGTGAGAGAGAGAGAGAGAGAGAGAGAGAGAGAGAGAGAGAGAGAATAGCAACCTGGCCAAGATCCTGCCTCAAAGCCAAAAGTTAAAATAAAAAAGGCTCATGGTGGCACATGCTTTTAATCCCAGCACTCAAGGGCAGAGGCAGGCAAATTTCTGTGAGTTCAAGGCCAACCTTGTCTCCATAGTGAGTTCCAAGACAGCCAGGGTTATACAGTGAGACCCTGTCTCAAAACAAAACACAACACGACAAAACAAAACAAAACACAATGGGTTGGAAATATAACTGAATGGTAGAGTATGTGCCTAGGTTCGATCCCCAGTAAATAAATAAATAGATGATAAACAGATGATAGATGATAGATAGATAGATAGACAGATAGATAGATAGAGACTAGCAAGAAGGAGCATGGGATAATGCTATTATCTGTTAATACCAAGAAGAGATTTTCTTCCTTGTGTCACCAGTACAACTGGACCAGAATGGAAAAATGAAATAACTTCATACTTTGTAACCAATTAAATGTTATTTTAGGACTGTGTCCAAGAACCACTCAAATTATTCTGAAGTTTGTGTGCATTTTCAAACTGGCCTGAAGGTGCTGCCTCCACATCAGTGGTTGCCGAAATACCCAGTGAACATAAAGATTCAAAAAGGCCAAGAGGCCAGGGGCAGGCCACCCTTACACATCACTTGTGAGAGAAAATCAACTCAGAACCCAAGTTCTAAACACCGTGACTGCGGATGCAGGTTTGAGTTCTGTGTTTTTGCTATGCAACCTTGTTTAAGTAATACCACCTTCTGAGCCTGAGTTCACCTGCCCCAAGGCTGACTCTGAGACCCTTTGCCGAAAGTAGGGCTGCTTTATTTTAAAATAAAGCACGTGTGGGGCGAAGTGGCTGAGGCAGGCTGAGATGTGTTGAAGCCGGGCGCCTGCACTCCTGCCCGCAAGTTTCCTCTTGCTATTTACATAAAGACCCTTGTTTACACAGGAGTTGTGGAGCCTGGAAGGTGCGCTTAGGAGGGGGACTGACTTGAATGATGTCTACAGTTAGGGTACAGTTGTTTATAGAGCCTTTTAGATGTTGGGTATAGGAAGTAGAAAAAAAAGGAAGACGTCAAGAAATAAACCCTAAAAGGGAATTTACCTGTGGAAATAAGAGCTCTGGTCAATCAGCCACCTCATGTGTGGGTGTAGAGGAGTGGTTCGAAGTCGCTGCTGGTGGCTGGCAGACAAACACAGGCCACCTCAGCTGCCCCTGAATTGAGTGTACTAGGGAGAGCAGGGACCTCATGGATGCTGAAGATGGCCTTGTTAAGTGATATGCCTGGAAACACAAGAAGTGACTTTGGATTCTCCTCCCAGAGAGTCCATCCAGGTAGTGAGGTTTCTCCCCAGCACTGCAGATAGCAGATGAACTGTGCCAGAGCCCAGTAGTGGAGACAGGTGAAGGGACTGGCCTGGGTCTCCCCCCCACCAGTGCTTCTGACGTGAATGCAGAGTTGGGGTGATTACAGGGACACATGGAAGCGCAGAGCAATTTCTGACCACTTGCGGTGGCTTCCTGGACCTACGTGGACAGCATGAGAGGGTGCATGGATTCATTTACGTCCATCAGTCAAGGGAACTGCTGCAGGGCTTGCTTGCATGTAAAGCAAGAGCACAGTGTTCACATCATATATGTTCACTGATGGTAGCGATTTTTATGAATATCGGAGAGAACGGCATTGGGTAGTTTTATTAGACTTGAAATGTCCTTAAGCCTGTTCAGGCCAAATGTATGTGTTCCTGAAACTCATGAAGGTGAACGTGGCAATCTGAATGTCCCCCATAGGCTCCAAGTATTTGGACACTTGATCTCCAGTTTGTTGCACTGTTTGGGGAGGGTCATGGGACCTTTAAGAGATATGGCCATGCTGGAGGAAGCATGTCACTGGGGGCGGGCTTTGAGAGTAGATAGCCATGCCCATGTTCAGTCTGTCACTCTCTGCTTCCTATGCCTGCTTGATGTGAGTGCCTCTCTACTCTGGCCACCTTTGCCGCCATGCCTCCCCACCATGATAGACCCTTACCCTCTGGAACTGTAAGCCAAATAAAGTCTTTGATAAGTTGTCTTGGTCATGGTGTTTTATCACAGCAACAGAAAAGTAACTAATACAGTGGAACTGTCCAGACAGGCGTGAACATTATCTAAAGAGAAACGTGTGTCCCTTTCCTCCC